GGGGGGGGGGGAGAGGGGAAAAATAGGGCAAGAACGGGGGTCGAATTTCTCACACTCCTTTCTTCTTATTTTTTTTCTCTGTTTTTTTTTTTCTGTGCGGCACTGAGACGAAAAGAAAAAAAAGAGTGAGTACCCGCTTGGATCTGGGGGAAGGGATAGTCACGTGCGGCCGTTGCAAAGAGGGATGAGGAAGAAGAATGAAAGTTGCTCTGGGGTGTTTCAACATCTACATTTGTGTACGTGTGTGTGTTTGTGCTTATCAATCTCTGCGCGTGTGTGTGTAAAAAGAAGGCAAAAGAAAAATGGGCATCTGCGTTGTCTTTTTTTTTTCTGTTGGATGTTTTCGTTTGCATTGGTGGGGACGTCTGGAAGCCTTTTTTTATTTCGTTACGCCGTCCTTTGTGTCCCCCACTAACTGCCATTTGTGCTTCTCCTATCATGCTTGCTAATAAGACTGCTACGCGGCGGCAAAACACGCGCAGAGGTTCACACACAACATAAAACAAAAATATTTGTGTGGTGAATGAGACAACGGCTGGATTCAGTGGTGTTTAGATGTATGCGCATGTATCTGTATGTGTTTCGCTTCTTGCACAGGTGTGAACACCTTCCTTGGCGTCATCCGCATGCATATGTACACAACACACGGTACTCTCACTTTTGTCACCCTTCATATACGCTATTGTTGTTTCCTTCCCTCCTTGCTTCTCTTCTCTCTATGGAGGCATTCTCTTTGTCTCTCCCTATTTGCCCTTGCTGTGATGTCGTGTATGTGTACTGATGTTGTGTGTGCCGGTCATTAGCGAGCTTTCATTAAGCCAGGCCCCACGCTACGCAATACACTGCGACCCCTCTTGTTCCTCGTTACCGTGCTGTATGAGCGTGTACGTTATTAAACGGTATACGAGGCGTTCTTGGTGTGATGTGGATGGTGCACATGGTATGTAAGTATGCGATGTTCATTTGGCATGTCGTGTCGCCATTTTTTTTTTTTTCAGTTGTTCATCTTTTTTAGATATTTCTTTTATTTTTTTCATTTCTCTTCACCCTTGGAAAGGAAGACGAATCGTTTCTTGGCAAAGAAAAACGTATTGATCACGGAGGCAGTGAATTGTGAGGCGCTCCACAACTACGTTACCAGCAGCAGCGGGATGGAGATTCATCGTTGTCAAAAGTCCCCATATTTTATTATTGGCATTGTCGGCATCATTAGCCTTATCATACTGGGTAATGCTGCGGCATGTGCTCAAGAAGGGAGTCAAGAACTTTCGCAAGTCGTCTTCATCAGCTGTAACAGGCACGACAAGGACCAGGGGTATTGGGATTTGATTGCGGCCGCTGTGGATAATAAGGAGCCCGTCCGAGAGGCGAAGAATCCTCGCGGACGTGTCACTGGAAGCTGCGCTGCTGCTCCGCCTGTTGACGCCCTCGTGTGGCTGGGTGACGTTGTGTACGCCGACAAATGCTCCTTTCTGAGAGGCTGCACGCCAAACAAGGATGTGGAAGTTATGCGGTCTAAGTTTGTGCAGCAGCGGAATGCTCCAGAATATGTCGCCTTTCGCCACACCTGTGTGCGGAAGCGTGACGCTTCGCCTAAACAACAACAAGGGGAAATGCGGCGAGTTATTGGTGTATGGGACGACCATGATATGGGGAAAAACGATGGTGGTTCAGAGTACACTGACAAGGATGTCGTGCAGCAGTTCTTCCTTGACTTCCTTGGCGTTAATGGCGATGATCCACGGAGGAAGCAGCGTGGTGTATACAACTTTGAGACTGTCCCATTCCGGGCATTGGGATTTGATGCTTTTGGCGGTGGAGACAGTGATCCTACTGCGTCTGCCGTGCTGAATGAGCTACGGCGCTTGTACGATAATGCAGTGTGTTTTCTCCTCTTAGACGTACGCTACTTCCGTGACCCTGTGAATGCCTCCCTCAGCGGAGACATGCTAGGTGGGGAGCAGTGGGCGTGGCTCGAGCGGCGCCTCCGCGACGACATCGCCGGCCAGAACCCCGCAACCGATCGCGAGCGGTGCGCCGTGACGGTGGTCGGGGGCGGCGTGCAGCTCATCATGGACGAAAAGGTGAGTGAAAACTGGGGCGCCTTCCCGCGCTCACGTGAGCGACTCTTCGCGCTTCTGCGCCGCCACCACAGCGAGCGCGTTCTCTTTGTCACTGGTGACGTTCACCTTGGCGAGATTGGGATGGACGTTACCCGTGACGCCATACAAACGCTTGGCTACCCCATTGTCGAGGCAACAAGCTCGGGCCTCACGCACAGTGCAGCAAAGTTCATTGGCCTGCCAACGCTTATCAAGATGGTGTTTCCCACCCCACGGCGCGTCGGCGTGTACGTTGAGCGTAACTTTGGAATCATAAAACTGGTAGCGGATCCACGTGCCTTCGCTGCATTATCGACTGGAACAGATAAAGAGCGAAGACACTACTTGGAGAAGCATATCAACGTGTCCATCACAATTCGAAGCATTCCAAAACAAGGAAAAGAGGTCCTGAAGCTAATGCTTCCACTGAGTGCCCTTACCTACACTTTCGGCTGCCAATTTATTCAAGCAAGCGTTGATCCCAATGGACATGTTTTTCCGTTAAAAGCCCTTATGGGGAAAACCTGTGATGAGCTACAAGGAAGAAACGAAGGTGGGCGAACGTCATCTTCGCCGCGTCCTTACCCCTCTAGTACACCTGCACCTATCATAACTTATATTATGCGCATTATGCAGCGTCACGTGTGGCCGCATCACACGCTGTTGGGAGTGCTCTTTGAGGTGGTGCAGACTGTGGTTGCGGTGGCGTTGGTGGCCATGTTGACGATGGGACTCTGTTATTGCTGCTGGAGTGGCAGAATGAAGGCGAAAATATCTTAATATGTTCGCAAGTGTAGTTATTTTTAAGAATACGGCGAGTGGGCACGAGCAATGACCGTGATGTTTGTATGAATGTCTCTGATTCTATTATTACTGCTGTTGTTGTTGCTCTTCACAACTGGGGACTTATGTTTCGCTCTCTTGTAGGCTGGACTTGTGAAACTTATAGGCATGACACCCTGTATGAGTGTGATGTACGTGTGGCTCCGCATATCCCTCTACCGGGGATACACCCTTACAGATGTCGTGGGAGATGTCATCCTCGATGGTAGCCAAACGCGACGGGAGACACTCAAGCTGCTTCCTCGGGATCAGAGTTGATGTTGTGATGTAGTGAGTGAGGTTATTCGCCAAATCATGCACATATGCATGTACATCCCCAAGGTGATGTTGAGGAGCTTGAACATTATCAACTCAATTGACCCTGAAACAAGTGTTTTATGCTTTGAATTCACGGGTACCAGCAGCTAGGTTATGAACTCCACTAATTAATCAAAGACTATCGTGCACTCGTGGTTCTTGTTTGCGCTGTTCGTTACCTCATCTAATCAGGGATTCCCCTTGGCCAAGAAGACCCTGTAGAATCAATCACCGTGGTGGTAGGACGCAGTTTTATCTTTTACCATGACGATCATCTCCCTCGTCTTATTGGGTATCGTGCTGATTGGTAACCGCGTGGCCGGTGCCTTAATTGCTCTGCATGCTGCGACGCGTAGTCCTGTTTACACAAACAACCTCCCAGTGAGCACTGTCAACTCTGCCCAATATGAAGGCATCTCCTGCGAGAGTGGCGCGCGTGGTCAGGCCACTGTCACCGTCACCACCAGTGTTGATCGAGGTAAGTTTTTTTTTGTCAGATATGTTATAGTCTTGTGATTTTTGTTTGCTGTTTTCTTATTGTTTCATGTTATTTTGAATACCAATGACATCAAGTCACTATTTTATTCTTTGTCTCCGTATTTTCCCTCTGGTTG